TTTACGCGCACTTTACGTGGGGGTGGCATCGAAACTGCCTCGAATCAGGCGGTTTCCAGGAGGCTGAACAGATCGACCGAGTGTGAAAGAAGCATTTACGACCTCCGCCGTTCGCCGCCGGAAGAAAAAGCTTCCATCCCGCCACCCCCACCGGCGCGCGAGGTGTACGCGGGGGTGGATTCATTCGATCGTGAAGCGACCTCGCGCGAAGAGTCGGGCGAAAACGCGGTTCTAAAGGTGCCCCTTCCCATTCAAATCGGATTCAATCGAATCACACCTCGCGCACCTCGAACGTTGGATTTGAGGCGCGCCGCAAAATGAATCGCGAGATAAATTAAATTATTATCGCCCGGCCGAGAAGGAAAACGGGGGGAAAAGGAGCGGATGCCTCTCGCGGGAGCGCTCGTGAAATATGGATTTCAATCTCGCGTGATCGGTTAATTAATGTGCCCCCTCCGGTTTCGGAGCCGCTCGCGCCGATATGATCGAAGGCGCGCGCGCGTTCTTTGTTTTGGCACACTCGGCACTCGGTTTTACGGGCCGTTGGAGAGAAAATATATCGGCGGCCGGGCAGCACGGGTAATCAGTGCGTGTCGACACTGCCACTGGATAAATAATAACCCGGCGCGTTGTAATTTTCAGGTCGCCCGATGTCATTTCCAACGCTCCCGATATCACTCGCCGGGAAAGAGGTGCTCGCCGAGCGTGCCCAACGGTTCTCGCGGTCTACTATCGCTCATTGTCGAGAGACTCGTTATCAGTCACGGCTCATTATCGCTCGAGATAACGCGTATCGATACCATCGTGAAAAATGCCCTTAACACACAACCGTCGACCGTAACTTCTCCCGACCCGAGAATCGTCATCTTCATCGTCGTATTAATTCGCGTCCTCATCCTTCTCCTCACGCTTATTCTCCATTCTCGTCTTACCCCTTTCACCCCATCCTTATTCTCATCCTTTTTCCCATCGTCACCCGAATTCTCATTCTTACCTTTGCTACCTTCATCATCATCCTCCTCATCGTCCTAGTTTCACCTGGTCTCACCTATCCTCGTCTACACTTCGTCCTCGTTGTTATCCCCGCCGTCGTTCCCGTCGTCTCTTCGTCCTCGATATTTGACCTGATCCTCTCCTTCATTCCTACCCTCATCCTTATCCCCTTCCTTATCCTTTTCCTCATTTTCATCTTTATCCCCCCTCCCTCACCCTCATACCGACCCTTAACTTCATCATTAGCCTCTCATCCTCACTCTCTCGTCCTCATCCTCACCCTCCTCATCGCTTCATCATCACTGGCAGCGGCAGCGAGGGCGGCGGCTTCGGAGGGATAATAGGGCGTCCGGTGGTGGCCGTCCAGACATAACAGATGCCCGCGACACTGTCTGCCCATCCGTCCGTCGGTCCGTCTGTCGGTGGCAGCGGGCCATCATCCGGCGTTTGGACCGGTTCGAATGCTGCGTTCCCTATGGAGACGCCGGCGAGGATCTCTAGAATGAAACGGCGGCGCGCTTTGTGCGCCTGCGTGCCACTCGACGCACCCATCCGTCCATTCGTCCCCTCTGCTCCCTTTCACAATGTATCGGGGGGACAACCGACTCTCGTGCCGCCGTCGCCTCCGCCGCCTCCGGCAGTCGCGTCCCTCGTACGCCACCGTTTACGTGCCGCCGCGACGCTCCGGCTGGCCGCAGTGCGTCGCCGACGGGCGTCACGGCGCGTCCCGTCGTCGCCGACCTCGTCGTCCTTCCCATAATTGTGCCGTGTATCGCGTTCGATAGTGCGTTCGCCGAGTGCGTGAGAGACAGAGCGAGCGAGAGAGTGAGGAGAGCAGGAAGAGGAGAGAGAGAGAAAGACGGGAGAAAGCCGGTACGCGCCTGCCGGTGCTCCGAGCTGGTGCATTCGCTCGCACGGCGACTCGATGACGACTTACCTAATCACGCTATCGCGATAGGTATCGGTCGCCCCCTTCGAGAACGATCTCGGAGAGGTGTGATCTCCGACACGCACCTGTCGTCGTCGTCGTCGCGAGTTTCAGTGAACCGTCGGTTGCGAGTTACCGCCTGCGCGCGTCCACCGACGGCCTCCAGACTTTGTTTCCGTCTTTCGCGCGTTGCCAATTAACCCGACATTGATCTCCGGCCGGTCAGCCGGGATCTCGACGGTCCTCTCGCGACTCCTCGGACGCGTGTGTGTGGCGAGCGAGTACCTGCACACGCTTCGTTCTTGTTGGAACAGGAATCGTCCCGCCGGACGGTCGTCGAGATCGCAACGGGAATACAAACGAGACGGTCGACGTTGGACCGCGCGAATAAATCCACCAAGCGTCGCGCTCTGTGTGTGATTGTTTCTCCTTTTCCTCGCCGATAGTGGAATGCCTTTGTGAAGGCGAAGCCGCCCGGAAACCGCGGAACCGGAGCTTCCTCCGTCGATTAATTCGGGCTGAGAGATCCCGGCGAACCCGTCCCGGTTAGCTCGCGACCTTACCAAGTGGCTCGGTGATGCGACACGCTTCTCTCTCTTTCTCCAATTGTACGGTGCACCCAGCGCAGTGGAATCTCTGTCGGGGGTCTTATCGATAGATAAGACTCGGTAGTGAACCAGCACAGAAGCACGTTGTGCGTTCTCGCGGCAGAAGTGAAATATTATACAACGCGTGCGAGCGAAAAGTAAACGCACGTAAGCCGCGATCGATGAAACATTCATCACACGCGGGGAGATCCGCACGAGGGGGGGGGGGGGGGNNNGGGGGGGGGGGGGGGGGAAATAATTTTGCCACCGTAGCGAAATCATTTTGTTCGCTATCCGCGACAGTGAACGATGTCTCGTATTATTTTTATTAATTCAGTTAACGCGAGCAAATTAGCGCATCACTCGCAATTAGAGCGGAAGCAGCTTCGTCGCCGGGATAGAAAATTTCGTGTGAATCCGAATTGGGTGAATCCGTCCTCAGGGGCGCGTTAATTCGCCTGCGTTTCAGCGAAATAATTTATACATTCGACAAAAGTAACCCAGCGTATGGCGATTTGTCCACTCGACTCGTTTTACACATAGCAACTGACAGATGTTGCTGCGACAGCGTAATATTCGCTGCGTCAGCAAATCGCTCTTCTCCGTGCGGATATGAACATGATAGGAAATACAATAAAACAAACTATATATATATATATATATATATAAAAGACTAGATGAAATTCCGAATACTTCGAAGATAACATCAGCAAGCACCGATAATAAAACGCACGAGATCGCATATGGCATGAAAATACACACGAAAGGGTTAGAAGGGGAGAAGGGGAGGGGGGGAATAGATGACACACACTATAGCGGAGAATAAGATTACGGCGCCGGGCAAACACAGTTGGCGGTTTATCCACGGGCCGCTTTCGAAAGCGCGAGCCAGCTAAGTTATTGATTGCGGTGATTTTCGCGGCGACGACGCGGGGGAGGAGGGGGGAGAGGAAATTGCTACTGTCGTTTTCGCGAACATTACGCGCGCACGGAGATCCTGCCGCCGCCGGTCGCGACTTCATCTCACTTTCGCTGCACGCGTGATATCGGCGCGACGGCACCTCGTCCTGTTCCTGCCAGATTGCATCCGCTCGTCTTCGTTATTGCCGGCCGTCCCTTTCCGTTCAGAGAGAGAGAGAGAGAGAGAGACCAAGCAGAGGAGGTCGAGCGAGCATTCGCAACGCGTGGCCACGGCGCATTCACGATCCGTAGCCGGAAGTGCCGCGAAGGTCGCGTCTCGGCCGTATCGGAAAGGTGCCGCTCGCTCTCGTTTCGTAATAAAGGCCGGCGACTTGGCCGCCGGGCCCGATTTCTTCATTTTTGCCCGGCCGCTGCACGACATCGCTGGGTTATTCCTCGTACGCTTCAAAGTGCGGGCCGGTTGGAGGTTCGTCGGTGCCGGGACACGCGACGATACATCGCGATCTCTTCGCGCTCGAAATCGGCCGAAGCGAGCGGACGTCCCCCCGGCCCGGCGCGGAATCGGCCGGGGAATTACGCGATGTCTCCGATTTGCAATTCCTTACGGTATAATTAACGTTGCGTAAACGCGTCGCACCCGATAGTCGAGGACGGGGAGCGAGGAAAAAGAGGAAGGGAAAAAGGCATTAGGAGAGANGGGGGGGGGGGGAGAGAAAGAGGAAAAACACGGTAGCGTAAAAATAATTCGCGACGCGCGTGAGCGAGCGAGCGAGTGACGCTTTCTATTTCCCGTGTGGCCGCGGAATGCCTGGAATATTCTGTGTGTCTCTTCCTAATGAGACGCTCGCGATATTGTTGGAAAGTCTCGGCCGGCCGTTATTTCAACGACGCCGAGATTTTCGCTCGTTTGTCCGAATGAGACGGTCGGTCTCGCGCGAGGTCGAAACACAACGCGTCAGGTGGAAAGTTGCACGATCGTTCATTAAGGATCTCCGCGACCGGCCTCGGGGAGAGCAGCAGCGATGGAGAGGAGGGGGGAAGGGTGGTGGGGAATTTTAGTTTAGAAAGTGCCACTTCGGAGGAGGAATTCCACGAGGAGAGACGGACTGAGGGAACATTCGAGTGTTAATCAGCCGGCCGTCGCGACGGTACGCTAACGGACGGTACATCATTTCCGTCTCGACTTCCCGAAAGCCGTGTCTCCGGCTGGTAGCTCTCGCCTTTGGTCGTTCGATCGCTCCCCCGTCGCCTCCATCCGTGATCCGACACGAATCCCATCGTTCCTGAGCACCGAGTATCGGCTGCCGAGTTCTCTCCGAGCGAAACCCGCGGAAAAGCCGCGAGCGATAACTCGCGGGCGTCAACAATGCAGCGGCAACAACCGGGCTAATCGCCGATTACTCATCGTATCGCGTCAGCGTTCGCTGGCATTCCGATCGTGTCCGGCCAGCTGCCATTCACGACGGGCCCGTAGATAAGGCTGCTTTATTCGCCGATAAGAGTACACGAGAGAGAGAGAGAGAGAGGGAGAGAGCGGCTTCTTCCTCCGTCCGAAGTCGACGTCGAGTTTCGCTTCGCGGGCGAACGGGCGATTCGCATCGCCGACCATCTCGCGAGATTCCGCTCACGAGGCTTCCGGTGAGTCTCTCGCTCCCCCGTGAAACTTAGATGAATGGAGTTTTCCGACTCTTCCTCTGTACAGGCCTGCAGAAGTCGGTTGCCGTTCCCGATTTTCTAGGACTCCGCGCTTATAACCAGCGGCTGAAAGAATTGCAATCGGGAAATTTTTTTTTCCCGGTAAATGTTACCATAGTGTCAGTGATAACTTTCTATCGTCGCTATCGCTATTTGTTGGATCAAAACGAGAGAAAGGGAGAGTCGAGGCCGAAATCGACCGGAACTTCGGCGGGGTTTCTCTGGATTTGTGTGGATTCTGTACAGCTCGCGGCTGGTAACGGGACTTAGCTGGGATGAAAAAATTGTTGTTACTCCGAGAAAGATAAGGAGCGGTGGAATCAATGTGACAGTTAGCAAACTGAATGTGCTTTGGTCGAAGGAGAAACAGGATTTTCCGGCTCCAAGAGCTGAATTTAGTTCGTAAGGACTAGAAATTCCGTTTCCTTTAACGAAAATGCGGTTCGGTTCGTTCATTGTCACGGTTAATTCAGTCGATCTTTTTATCCCCGTGTAAAGGATCAAAATGTCCCATGGACGCGATCCGCTGAATCCACGCCGTTCGGTGATGCTCTGAAACATTGGAAGAATGTACCAAATGGCATTTCCGTATCGGATTTCTCGGCGTCCGCGGCACGTCTCCGCGAAACGGCGGCGACGAGTAATATAAATTACTTCGGAATACCAACGTGAAATACCAATAACCTATTTATCATCAGTATTTTCAATGGTTCATCGATTCCTCCATCGATCGGCACGCGCTAAAGAGAAAAACCACATTCTCACTCGCTGTTATGAATTCTTCACATCAGCCAGCGACCTTTGGATCACTCTGTATAAATAAAAAATCTCCCCTCTGAACGATTCTCTTTCGATTTCTTCGTTTCCGCCTCCTTCGAATATACATCTGTTCGCGCTTCTTTCGAATAAATCCAACCTCTCTGGATTTCCCCTTTGTCCCCCGCCGAGGGGACGAGTTTTCCTCGGGTTTCTCTAAAAATACGAATTCGAGACCGCCTGGAAATTAACTCCGGATCGTCGCGGCCGTCGCGAGAGATTAATAACGATGCGCGTGATACGTATAATGCGAAACGACGCGCGAGAGCGAGCGAGAAACGCGTCTCTTTTTCCGTTTCACACACGATGACGCAATACAACCGCGTCCTTCCCACCTCCCCCGGGGCATGATTTTTTGTTCCTTCTTCTTTCTCTTCTTTCGACGACTCGTGTCAGGTGGTGTTCAAGGATGCTGCCGAGCGAGCGAGAGGAACGATCGTCGCGCTTATTTAGCGACGAGGCGCTTATCAAGAGCCCGGAATCCCCGTTTAAGGGACGGAAGGTGGTTATATGATTGATCGCTCGTGGCGTGCCTACCTCTATAATCAATCAGGCATGAACAGATACGGAAATGTGTCGCGACTTTTGCACCGACAGGAAGTGCTTTCGAATACGGCGGACGTAATAACGCGCTCGCCACGGGAAATCCTTCGAGGAGAGATATGTCCGGGGAACTTTCCTTTTTTTTTTTTTATCGTACTTTATCACACCTCGTCGCTAGGCTTCGCCTAACGATAATGGAGATTGTGATTCCTGCGTTTCCTTCCGTTATTCGCGCGATGACGTCGTTGCGGACCCGTCCGCGAGTCGACGACCTCGACGGAATTCCGGACGACTCGTTCGGAATTTTGTCCCCCGTGAAAGAACGACGCGTGATTTCGGGGTCGCCTTCGAAGAATACAACTGGGTCGTCTATTCGTGCGACCCTTCGAACATGGTTTACCTGCGCCTTGGCGACCGCATCGGGCCACCTGCGGGCGTCCTTTCCGTCTCCGGAGAAATCGACCTTAAATGCGTCGAAGGATATCCGCCGTCAAGACTGGAGTCTTACGTATAAACGGAGAGAAGCTTTATTGGGCTCGATATATGGAAATCGCTGCCGTGATCTTTTGCATGATAATATCTGGAGCGAGAACGAGTCGAGAAAATGAGTAAGGAAAGGAAGAAAAAAAGGTTGACTCGAAAGAGGTTAACCTGAATAATTAGACTAAGTGAGAATATTCTCCCCGTAATTCGCAGCTCTTTCCGATGTGATCCGACGCATCGAGAAAGGATTTTATTTAATCGTGATATAGCAAAATTATATAATAAAAATATCACACATCAAATGTGGGCCTATTCGCACGCGTTTCAGTGCAATTAAAATCTTAATAACGTGTCTTAATATTATCAATATAATAATCTCCTATTTTTATCTGCGCTATAAAACATACTGACATCAGCAAAGCTGTTTAACATTTTTTTTATTATTGCGTTTACATCACTCACCGGTACATCATGTGCTCTTAGTCGCGCTAAGAAAAGAAAACACCGGCTAAGTCGTGTGATTCGAGCAGAGCCGATCGAGCCGACGTTTTCAACGGTGCTTCTCTATTTATATCTAGGACTCCGGTTGGGACAAAAGTGGCAAATTTGCGGGGTACGCCGCGCGCGTTCATTTGTTATTTGCGCGGCGTGTCATCGGCGCGATTTGTCGAGCCCGTGATCAGCCTGTAATTGCGAGGGAACGATTTTTCGCGGCATTCGCTCTCCGTGGCGCGCCGCTCGCGGGATTCCAATTAATTCCGCGGCCATCGATCGTCATTAAGTCCTCCTCGTCGCGCGGCGTGTCGCTTCTCCGATATCGACGCGCACTCCTCCGCGTGTGCGTGTCGGAAACTCGCGAGACTCTCCCGCATAACTCTCGATCGCGCGCGCGCGCGCATGAGACCATCAATCACCATTAGAATTCATTTTTTCCGCCGGTGAGAGCTCCGTCGCGAAATTAATGACGTGAGATGAATTATTACGGTTCACGCGCGCGCGTAAACGGGCCGCTGTTCGCGAAATCCGCTCGTCGCCGAAGCTAACAAAAAACGCACACACACGCGCGCGCATACACACTGTTGATACATTCCGTACGGTATCGCCGGTCGGAATGTTCTCGACGAGAAAAGTAGCTGTGACTCTTGAGAAAACTCGCGCTTTTTCCACTTTCTCTCTCTCTCTCTCTCCAATGGAATCAATAATTATATACCACTGTGATCGAATCAGAGAAATAATATACTTCACCGATGACACTCGGGTCAACACCCGAACAATAGTATTCCCCGTTTTCTGCAATCTTCTTAAATTTCACCGACGAAAACGATCGTCGCTACTGACCGAGCTCGCCGTGATTTTACCGACTCGCAGTGCTAGATTTGTAACTGCGACCGATTGTTTCTCACTATGTGATATACTGATTGCACATTTTCGAGAGCGCACTCTCACCGCTATCTCTTACCGCCTCGTTCCCCTCCGTTGTGAAGTTTCATCTTCCCGGTTTCGTCCTCGCACGATCAGCTGTGACAGCGTGAATTCGAGCGACGGGATGACGGAAGAAGAGATGTGTATCGGGTTAAATGCCGGGGGAAGATAACCGAGGGAGGAGAAGAAAAGGGAGTCGCGCGCGAGATGGTGTTTGCGCCGACGGCTTCCGCCGCGTGCTCTTCCCTTCTGGTCCACCTTGTGTGCTTTCTCGACCAGCCAATATCCACGGACCGCTCCGGGAACCTCCTCCCTTCCTTCTTCTTCTTCTTCCTTGCCTTCTCGTCCGGCGACGATATCGGTAATAACACGCGTTCCTCGCTCCCTTCCTTCCGCCAATCGTTTCCTCTTTTTATGTCTGCGCGCAGCCAGCCACGAAGGAGCCGGCCTTTGTCGTAGAGAGAACCGGCCGGCCCTATATTCGGCTCAGGTATAACCTCGTGAACGTTATTTCTTTTACCCACGAGTTGTCCTCGAGGAAGAGCAGCGAGAAGTGAGAAAAATGGCGTGCAAACGTATCGCGTACGGTCGCGTCGCGATCCTCCACCGGGGAAAAGGCGGCACCTGTTTACCGTAACGCGCCGTTTCTTACGAGACTTTGTGTAGCCCATCAAGGATGTTTCCTCGGGGGAAGGATCACTTTACCTAAACACGTTTTATCGCCGACGGTACAAAATTAGAAGCGTTTCTTCTCTGACTCGGGCTTTGGAGGAGAGAAAGGTTGCTCCGCGTCCGAGAGAGAAGGGAAGGCGATCCCGTGACGACCTGAGTGTACGTAACAGTATATCCAGGGTGTCTGATAACCCACATGCCGACGCTCGTGTGCAGGTAGAAGCGCATTACGCCTCTGGATCCCACGCTACGCGGTCCTCTCTTAATTGATGACGCCGGGAGCGAGAGAACGCGCGGCTAAAATGCCAGGCGGAATACGTTGAAATAAAAACCAAAAAAAGGCGGTGGAAAGTCGACGCTCGAAGTTATCGGAAGTCGTCGCGCGAATTCTAAAAGCAAATTACATATCATTTAATTCGATTAAACGATAATAAAAAAATCATGATAATCCAATCGAGCACGGAGATACCAATTAATTTACACCGCATTACCGCGCGACATCTTTGTGAAAAATTGCGCATAATCGTTATAACATATTGAAGATTTATTATGACGTGACGTACGTTTTTTTTTAGCGGAATTAATTCTTCAGACGAAGTTCCCATCCAGGATGCCTGATCGTCGATTGATAATTTTTTGTGACTATTGCCGTCCCATCGCTTGGAAAGAATAGAAAACTCAGTTGTAGGGACAGTAATATTCCCGTCGGAAGTTTCTATTGCTCTCAGTTACCCCAATCGAGTCACTCTCAATGCAGTTGAGAGTTCAGACAAATGTTTTCGATTTTCTACCACGATGCGAGTCGTCGCTTACCTCGCTCCGCTACGCCACCGTCGTATAGGTTTCCGACAGTAACAAAAGCATCGTTTTCTCGTCGATAAATTTTCCTTCGACGCTTCTTTAATTATACGAACTGAGATTTCTCCCGTATGATAGCGGTTCTCAGTGTCCACAAAAGAACCCTCGCAATCGGTCGAGCGGATCTGCAAAATAGCTTAAGAACTTTCCTCTCGCTCCAACTGTCAATTAATAACCGTACAATTAACGCGATACTTTGTCAACCCATTGTTTCATATTATTCTGTCACGTTGATCTTACGATTATTTATCGGTCGTTAGAACAAGAAAGGAAAGAGAAAGTTTTACAGACTACTTTACAAATCTGCTTCCGCGGGAACATATTTTCTTTTTTTTTCCATATCAACGTATTTCGTGAGGATTTGGAGGGTTTATTTTCTCGTCATTTGATCGAGATGATCGAGGAAACGCCGAGGAAACGGAAGCTTTAAGCTGAAAGTGCTCCATTATTTCGCGATTTTCGACGGGCGACGAGCGATGCTGCAACTCCTAAAACTCGCCGGTTACCGGATATTGTAAACAACAAGTACAAAAGACATCTTCCTTGAATCCCGCCTTGAGTGAACGTTTTCCTGCGTACACACACATACGCATTCGCTGATATTCTTCAATTTCTCAACAACCACTGCGAAGATTGCGAGACGTTAATGGACTCTCCTGTCCAGTTTAATGAACTGTGTCCGCACCCGGGCGTTGCCGCGTGCGAATTATCGCGCACCTTTTACAAGTATCTGCGGAATAAGCGATACATAAAATAAATGAATAACGAATGAGGAAGGGTACCTTAAATTAATGAGTGCTCCCTTAAGAGAGTCACGGCTAATTTGATACGGCGGCGTCCACGGTCCGGGGTGTAATTCAGTTTCGGCGGAGTTGGAGCGGAAAGTGTTAACGGGGAAGCCGGCCAAATATTGTCGCGAGACAACAGACACCAGTCAGAACGAGATTCGACCTCGCGATACCGGCGAAGGGACATTCTCAACCCGATTCCTGTCCTCCTCGGACGCGACTCCCTTCGGAGTCTCTCTCTCTCTCTCTCTCTCTCTCTCTCTCTCTCGTGGATTTACAGCAACAGCCGAAACTTTTCGCTCGCGTAACGAGATAAGAATCCGCAGGGATGTCGCATGGATTAAACGGCGAATTTCTCGGTGACACGATGGTCCTGTTTGCGCTGAAAAAATCGCTAAAAGGATCGCTTACGCGATCTTATCGCGATTAATCCTATTTCCACGGCCGATCGTAAAGCCGCGAACGGACGGACTCGATCGTATTAAAAAAGCGGGGGGCGGGGACTTTTATTTCCCCAGCCCCTCCCCTCCGCAGCAATGCTCTCGTTGTGCCAAGGCGCAAACACCCGCGTAAAGTCGACTCGATGCCCAATTTCTCCCGGGATGTGCTCTACGACTCGACTTTATCCGGTTCCTCCGGGAAAATTTCACCGTCCACCACGTGGAATTCTGTTTTTCTCCACCACTTGCGGAACTTTTATATATTTGAAAGTACAATCGTGCGAAATCAAATGCAATACAGAAAAATATACAATGTATAATTTGCGATTAATTCAAGTAAATACATCGGATTGTTCGTGCAGTTTTTGACAAGTGGCGATCATCACTTGTTTTTAATATCGCAGCATTCACAATCCGGAAAGTGAACATTCTCGGGCATTATTTGCTCGAGAAAATTCTCTGAGCGCGGATGTCAACGAGGGTGTCGCACATTCTGCGAATTTTCTGAGAAACTCAATAGTTACACAGAAAAACTTCGTGTCAATTCATGATCCGTGCAAGCAAGAATATATAATCTCGTATGAAGATGACACTTGCTTACGTGAACGAAATTCTATATAGCTCCGCTAAAATATCATACCCTTGTTATTCAGAAATAATTATCATGAATCGAGAGTGAAAAATATTGTGTAGAAAGAACGATACCTTCGAAGCCGATGCAAGTTCCAGTTAAAGAAGATATGATGCTTTTTGTCCAACATTTTCCCCTCTTAAAATACATGAAAATTATCTTAGCGCGGATTTAGCGTTGAGAAATGAAAGCAATCCGAGGGAGAGAGCGCGAGAACATCGCTCGTCACCGAGTGACTTTTATTTTTCACGTCGCCATTCAATCGTTTCACTTGGGATTCCGGTCGCAGAAAAAAGCGGGACAAGTTAACCGTCGATAATCGCGCAGCTCGCAACCGATACTTCACGGCCGTTTCCACGGATCCGTTCTCACCGACGAATCCCGTAGATCATCGTGCGACCGAGGAACCGGACGACGAGAGGTGCTCTCTCTCTCTCTCTCTCGTCCGTCGAGGAACGTCCGAAAAAGCCCGATTGACGCGCGTGGCCGCGTCCGTGAAATGCGTCGTCGCGCGTCACCGGTCATCGTCGCGCAATTGTCTTCGTGAGAGAGAAGTGCGGCCGAAGTCGTGCGCGAAGTGAACCCGCAGCTTCGCCACGATGCTGCCGCCGATCATCGGCAACATCAACAGCAGCGACATACTGACGCTGTACACGAATCCCAGCAACGGCAGGAACTCGACGACGGAAACGCGAGCAGTCAGCCGCGGTCGTTACGCGGAGATCGGCGTAAAGAGGTAAATAAGCTCTCCCTTCAGGCCTTGCAGCCTCACTTGAGTATTTTTCTAAATCGCCCGCATCCCCACATCGCGTGATCTCATCTTTCGAGAGAACCAAATCAGATGGGGGGGTATAATTGAATTCAATGTAAGCCTTTTATCGGACTGTTCGATAGACTCTCTCGGGAAGATTTTTACGAAAAATTTCAAGCCTGTTCTTGTACAGCTAAACTAATAATTTTATTTGTCTTTCACTCTTTCGCTTGACAGAAAGTCAAGGAGGAAAACAAAATTATGCTTGACTACTGAAGTACCCGCTGTGAATCCTTCGGGATTCTTACAAATTTATCGAACGATCCAATGATAAATTTGCGTTGACCGCAAAACAGAATCTATTAAATAAGATTATTAAATAAATCTTTTTGGTATATCTGTTGTTGCGCGAAGGTTAGCGTGAAGAAATATCAATTCAGGTTTGTGAAGTTAGAAATCTGTCCAATTTCTTGGTAAGAACTTTTATTTACGGAGCGGACGAGATAGCTTTTTTCATGGAGAAACGTTGACAAAGCGCGGACGAGACGAAATGACATGTGAATTTTTCGAAAGTTCACATCCGAGATACTGACTTCACCGACCTCGCACCAGCTTTACCTTACACACACACACACACACACACACACACACATCATTGTATTGATCATTCTGCTTAGATCTTTATAACCTATGAACGTTCGTTCACTGTCACGTTACCAACACACCAGCGGTTGATCTTGCATCGGCGATGACGAGATCTTACGAGCGGTGATTCTCGCGGAGCGGAAATGGGAGCGTTCGGGCTCCTTCTCACAGGCTGAATTCATAAAAATCGAAACCGACAAGACGGATGTTGATCATCCGACTCGCCTTCCGGCCGCGATCTGTGAACACTGATATCAAGCGGACTAAAGCGTGTAATCCAACCCGTTGGATATATCGATCCTGCGATCTGAACGATCAGCCGAGGACGAAAAAGGAACGAACGGGGGAGAAGAGAGAGAGAGAGAGAGAGAGAGAAAACCTCGCGGCGATTTTGCGTCTTGCGCGAAGAAATCGATTTTAATCAGCGGTTAATATGAAATACGATAGCAAAATGGTCGATAGAGCGTGAGAGGGGAAAGGGTACGATGGAGGGGGAAGCCCTTCAGTTTATTCTTATCTAAGCTGCTTATTCGTAATCCGCTTACATTCCCGCGAATGGGCCGTGGATGAGTCTCATTACTTCTTTCTCCTCTTCTTCCCGGGGCGCGAGATGCTCCCCCCCCCCCTCTCCATCCTCACGAAAATCTTCCTCGTTTTTGCACGGGAAATGGGATCCCCCCATCGTCGTCGTCAAATTTTTAACGCGCTTCAATTATCGTCCATCACCGCCAATCCCTCGTATCCGATAAATTTCTATTTCTTCGAGGACGGCGCGCACGCGATAAAATTCCTGCGTCATGCGCGTACTCGTGTGCGAGATAATTTCTTTCATAAATAAATATCTTCGTGAAAGAGAGAGAGAGAGAGAGAGAGAGAGAGAGAGAGATTTGCAGGGCGAATTAAACGACGCCCGCGACGCGCAAGCTCGGGAAATCCCGGCACATCTTTATTCGAGAAAACCCCGCCGGGAGGGGGGGGAATATTTTCGGCTCTTCAGCGAGGCCGCCGAAGGATAATAATATCAATGCGGAGCCTCGCTTTGACGAGGCTCCGACCTCCCCGTCGCGCGTCGGTATTCCTTCGTCCTTCCCGATCCCGGCGGAAACCCATTTCCACCCTGAAAATCGAGTCTGACTTGGAAATCCTCCGGGGATGAAGGAGAAACCCCTCTCCCTCCCAGCCCGTCTTTCCTTCCTCGCGGATATATCGAGTCGCGCGCATAGAGAGAAAGCGAGTCCTTTGAAAGTACATATCCACGCATAGAGGAGAAATCCCTGCTCCGAGCGTGGTCCCGAGGATAACGTTCCCGCGCGTGTCCTCCCGCTTTTCCTTAAGCCGCGTAATACCGCTCGTCATTGTGTCTGCTCGCTCGCGAGAGCTTTCGAAAAGGCCGGCGGAGTGCACGCGTCGTTTGTCATCGCGGCGGAGGAAAGGCGAGGATGTTGCACCGAACAACCGGTGTCGTACAACGGGGTGAAAGGACGGCGACATCTTCCTCTGGAAGCGCGCCAGACCCGTGACGGGGAACCGTACGCGCGGAGGCACGCGGCCTCGCGGCGCACAGATAATCACCTGTGCGCTTCTTATCGCGTATTCGTGTCCACCGTGTAAACACAGCTCCCCGATTTTTATATCTTTTATTGATACTGCGCGAAGCAGATATTGCGTAATGCGTGTTATCTCGGGCCGTGGATGGTCGGGGAAGTGGACGGGCCGAGTCGCGGTTGCTCGTCCGCCGTGATGAATGAACTATTTGGAAAAATATAATATTAATAACAATTATTGTTGTTATTATTATTGGCAGGCAAATAACCATTTGGTCGCGTAAATCAACACCACGTAAATAAACCTGTGCAGAAAAATATATATAAAGGAATGTTTGATTTGACGGTACATATTCGTAAAACGATAAATAATAATATTGTTAAGGGCCTGTAATATTATATTTTATACAGGGATTATATAGGGTGAGGCGATGATTATTAAAATAATTTAATGTAGATGTATATGTTCATTATACGTTTACATTAAACTGCTTATCAGTTTTTGTACAGGCGGATCAATAATATTTAATTAAAAATAATCAATGGTATTTAAGGCGTAATATTTAATGGCCCATTATCACTCCTATTTATTAAATCCGATTATAACCTACACAGCATAACCACTACGTTATGATGGATAATAACGGCGAGACTCGGCGTCTGTTACTTCACACTGTGTACACAGACCGACATTGTAAGGTCCTTAACGCGCGAGGTTATATCATTTTACAGTTTCCCATAAGAAATACATTATACGCTGTACAAGGGTACAATTGTATAGTACAGACTGCAGTGTTGGTCAGTGTAACTCGTTTATCCACATTAATACAAAATGATAATCAGAGTTGTGATAAGTGTTAATTTTGTTAACCGTGTTAAGTTTAAAGTTAATAGCCTATAAAATTATCTTAGATTGAAAGACCGGGAGCTACATAAACAAAAACTAATTACAAGTTGATATTAAATTAATTTCACTTATTAAGCTTGTTAAGGTTAAAGGTTAATTGTGCGTTCAGACAAACGAAACAAAATTGTTTACTGACGTTATTCTTCATTTTTCTTATCTTACGTTGCAAACAGTTCGCAATGAATTTAATATCGACGAATTATTTTAACTCGCATAAAAACCCTGGTAATAACTAACAAATAAATAAAATTTGTTTTTTATTCGCAATCTAAAAATAACTGAACAAAAGGCTGTTTAACGATGGCTAACTATCCGCTAATTTCAAGTACAAAAGAAAATAGTAAGTAATAGTAAAGTACAAAAGAAAATCACTGTTGCGGCGTTTCGTCCTAAACAATCACTTAATGGAGATCCTCATGCACGCAGCGGCGAAAAGCTAAATATCAGCCAATTGTTAATTCATCTCAAGGAGGAAAATATTCGCGGAACGTGTAATACCGATCGCGGTTTCGGGATTGAAGAGGTGATCCTGACACGATCGCTGTCGCAGCTCGCCGGGAACGTTCGCGCATCGTTTCGGGAGAGAAAAATGCGCTCCGATATCGAGGAGCCGAGAGGGATAGAGAGAGAGAGAGAGAGAGAGAGCGAGCCAGCCCTCTGAAAGTAAATGGGTCCGCTTTTCTCGGTCCATCCAGAAGAGATTGACCTACCGGGTGACATTCGTGATAAATAGAGAACGTGCGAGGAAGAGAGAGAGAGAAAAGAGAGAAAGAGAGAGGGAAGGGAGAGGGAAGGGGGAGGGACGCCAGAGAGAGAGAGAGGGAGAGCAAAGCACGACAAAGCGAGCTCATTGTCGATCGATCACTCGCCGTTATTCCGACGCGCCATTAAATTCCCGCTTCTCTCCGTAGACGGAGAAATATAAGGATAATAACATCAGCGTACTCTCCCCCTCTCTCCTCTCTCTTTCCCTCACCGTTTCTATCTCGCTTTGTCTCCCTCCCGTATTTACTCGGTAAAATCCAATTTTGGGCTCGTACGTCGGAACCATTTTCCCGCGCGGAACGCAATTTCCACGACGTTGCATCGGCGAGCGCTTTTCATTTTTCAATCTGCTTGTCTTCGAGCATCGATCCGCACGAATCTGCCTCGCCGGACGTTCGTAGGTTCGTAGGGAAAGAGTTGAAAGCGAGGTCGGGAGATGAGAGACACGGGAAATTCTGTCAACGGGATACGCTCGCATTCACGTGCGCGCGAATAAAAGGGGTGAGAAGACACAGACTGGCAGGCAGGCAGGCAGACGTGGCAGGAAGGAAGACGGAAGAGCCCGGGGGAGGCGAGGGAACAGAAGTCAGGTGTTTAGAGTGACTTCCTTCCGTACGTCGACCTTACCCGGTTTCTTCTTACAGAGCGCTGCGAAACCGAAGCCTCAGAGCCGCCTCTTGGGTTTCAGCCTCTGAAACCGGCCGAGTACCGGTGTCAGCTTGTGTTACTCCGCTGTGTAATACGCGACACTCGCCTCACCCGCTACGTATTACAGACCGTATTAAAGACCGTTGCACCACGGTACGCTGGTCTGTCGTTCTCTTTGTTTGTTTGTTTTTTTTGTTTTTTCACGTCGAAATTTCGCGCGCTCGACGAGGGATTCGCGACTTTGGCCGAAGAATCCGAGGGAGGGTTCTTAGAAAAGAAGGAAGGAACGATGGAAGACAGACGGGAAGAGAGAATCCGAGTAAAAATGTGTTTAATTTATTTTACCGTATTCAGTCGGCCTGAGGCAGAAGCTAGTAGCTGGCTGGTACAGATTAGATTCAATTTTCTAACTCGCCGCTGGTTCGTTACTGCTAGCCGTCTAGTCGTTACATATCAAACGTAATGGAGCAAATGGC